CGGGCTGGGAACCGCGCTCCGGGCAGGGGGCGGGGCTTGGCGCTGATTGGCTCAGACCTGCCCTGCCGGATGCCAGTCTCTCTGTAATTGCCTCCTCATTGGCTCTCCTGCTTCCCGTGCAGTCTCCGGCGCCCAGAGATCCCGTCTCTGTCCCTCTAGCCAGGACGCCCTCCGTGGCTCCCATCTTCCACCCCCTCCTCGCTTCCTGCCTAAAAGGCTCTACATGTCTGGCCCCTGGGGCCTCCCTCGCGGATGCCTCTCTCCCTCTGCCTCATGTGCTCCAGCCACACCGCCCTCTTTGTCTTTTCTGGGCTCAGGGCCTTTGCACAGGCCCTTCCCGCTGCCAGGAATGCCCTTCTCCTATATCTCCCTTACTCCCACCTGACTAAAATAGCCTGTCGCCCTCCAGTCCGTACTCTGCCTTTATTTTCAACATTGTGCTCAATTGCCTACCTCCCCTCCCATTGGAACATAAACCCCTGGGGGTTGGAGTTTGCCGAGCCTGTTTGCTTAAGTGTCCTGCCCTCAGAGAAAGGATTCAGGTGGAGGTGTGGTGGACGGAAGCCCCAGACTCCAGAGGTCCCAATTCATGACTCCAGGCCACCTCCATGACAACCCTGGCTCCTTTCCAGGTGCTCAACACTCCAGGCTGAGTGGGTCTCTGAGTAGGCCGATCTTGCCCCTGGGGCGGTGCCTGTATCTAAGGGGGCTGGTCTTGTTTCTCCAAGGTAGGTGGGTTTTTTTCGTTTTTGTATTTTTTAACCGCGAAGGGATGAGTCTGGCTCCGGGTTCCTGGGTGTTGGTGGCAGAGTGGAAAGGCGTATCTCTGAGGTTGGGCATCCCCAGGGGCTTGACCCGGATTCTTTTCGGAGGGGAAATTGTGGATGTCTGTCAAGGCCAAAGAATATTCCTTGAAGGCCAACCTGTTTTCTCTGCCCCCAAATATTTGTCCCTGCTTTAAAAATTTTTTTCTTGTGAAATATAAGATGCATGGATTAAAAGGGTACCATACAAACACACAATTTAACAAATAATTATGAAATTATCACCAAGTTAAGAAATGGAGTGTTGGCCTGGCCGAGTAGTTCAGTTGGTTAGAGCATCATCTGGATACACCAAGGTTGTGGGTTAAATTCCTAGTCAGGGCACATACAAGAACCAACCAATGATGCATAAGTAAGTGGAACAAAGCAATGCTTCTCTCCTTCAAATCAATAAATAAAAATTAAAAAAAAGAAATAGAATGTTGGCAGCCACCCAACAGCCCATAGAAGGTTCTGGCATGTTCCATTCCCCGCTTAACCTGCCCAACCCTACTGTTCCGAGTTTTATGGAGAAAATGTTTTCCTTGCTTTCCTGAGTGGTTCTGTACCCACAGTGCACCCTAAACAATACTACAGGTTAGTCTTGCTTATTTTTATGGAGTCATTCTCTATGTATCTGGCTTCTTCTGACGTTCATTTTTGCAATTATGTGTATCTGTACTCATTCAGTACACCACCATTTACTTATGCACTGTATTTTTGNATTTAAGAGAGAGGAAGGGAGAGGGAGAGAGAGAGAAACATCAATGATGAGAGTCATTCATCGTTTGCCTCCTGCACGACCCCGACTGGGGATCGAGCCCGCAACCTGGGCATGTGCCCTGACCGGAAATCCAACCGCAGTGTCCTGGATTCTAGGTCGATGCTCAACTGCTGAGCCCCGCCCGGCTGGGTAGACCCACTGTGTTGTTGATGGATGCCTTAGCCCATTTGGGCAGCTGTAACAAAATACCAGCAACCTGGTGGCTTGTAAACAAAAGACAGTATGGTTCACAGTTCTGGACACTGGAAGTCCAGGATCAAGGCTCCACCATGGTCACCTTCTGGTGAAGCCCCCTTTCCTGGTTCCCGGCTGGTGCCTTCTTGCTGCGTCCTCACATGGGGGAAGGGGCCAGGGCTCTCTGGAGCCTCTTCTATAAGGGCACTAATTCCATTCATGGGGGCTCCACCTTCATGACCTGAGCACCTCCCAGAGGCCCCAGCTCCAAATTCCATCACTTTAGGGCACTATGATTTCAACATATGATGTCAGGGGGCGCAGACATTCAGATCGTAGCGATGGACATTCCACTTCTGAGTTCAGGGCTGGACATTTCGCTGCTGTGGAGGTTGTTAGATGTGTCTCCCGGTGCAGGGAGTATGAGTTTCTCTAGGGTGTGTGCTCAGCAGTGGGATTACTGCATCACAGACTATGCACACCTTCAGCCTTATGAGAGCATGCCAGCCTCCCAGGCGTCTGAAACCTGAGAGGCTCCGGGTGGAACTCTTGATCCCCATTGCCCCCCTGCCCAAACTTGCCCTGCTCCAGTTTTCTGGCCTTAATACACCCACCATCCAACCAGTCCCTCCTGATTTCTCCCTTTCCATCACACACACACACACACACACTCTCACACTCTCTTTCTCTCTCTACCTCCAGAACTCATTTCAAATCCACCTGTTTGTCTCCATCACTCTGGTCCAGGCCCCCAACCTCTCCTGGTGGAATGAGGTAGTCTACTGCTTACACTCTGCCCCCCCCCC